AATTACATAGCACGAGGCAAGCCTAAGCTACAGGAGACATCACACAGACATAAATAATCAACAGCATTTGAGAAAACAAGCAATGATAGTATTAATGACTGAGAAACATTGGAGAACAGAAACAACTAGAAAATAGAGTAGCAATGCATTTAAAGAAAATGAAATGTAAAAAATGATACCAATAATTGACTTTATAAAATGATAAAAGTAATTTATTCTTAAGATAAAGAACTTAACTATATGGACATTGGAAAAGACTAGGTCCTACCATAGTAGAGGGAATGCCATTAATAAGAGACAGATTGACCTTTCCCATAAGCACATGTTGGCTGCTAAGATCAGTAATCAGACACACAGGAAAAGTTACAGTCAAATGGCCTGTTTCTCAGTTCTTTGTGCTGACTTAAGTGTGTCAAGCAGGATTGAACATATCTGCATTGGAGATATTCAATATTCTTTCGTTCAAGTTAACAATCACAAACTATACCCCACCAATGTGGTTTGTGTTCATTCACATAATATTCATTAAAAGATGCTGGGTAACTATAAAACCACTCCTCCTCCCACAATCAGGTCCTTTTTCATAATGGTGACTTGAGCAGCTGCCCTGTTTCCCCCTGCAGTGTACAAAATAAACTGTTCCTCCTATTCTGGTCTGAAGGCAGAAGCCATGCTCCACATGCAAATCCTTTTCCTGTGACTGCAATGAATCAAATGGATAATTTTTTATTTTAAAGATTTATTTATTTATCATGTATACAGTGAGTGTTCAGCCTGCAGGCCAGAAGAGGGCACCAGATCTCATTGTAAATGGCTGTGAGCCACCATGTGGTTGCTGGGAATTGAACTCAGGACCTCTGGAAGAACAGCCAGTGCTCTTAACCTCTGAGCCATCTCTCCAGCCCCTCAAATGGATAATTTTAAAACTCTGAGGTGGTACAGTAATTTTATTTAAGAATGTTGAAGGTGTAAGATGGAGGACAGCAAGGTCATTGCCCTGGAGAGCAACAGGCTGGAAATCAAGGCCACCTGAGTCAGCATAGGAGAGCTTATTTCAGAAACATTTTTCTAAAAGGCTGGATATGCAGCTGTTCTAGAATTAATATGCCTTCCCAGGGAGAAATCACTCTGCACACTTGTGAGATTAATAAAAAAAATCACTTTACTATGCATGGCTAATGCTCAAAGAGAAGACAACCTAGACAGATTTTGCATTCCACATATGCTGCCATCCTTAACTTTCTTTTAGGTTCATGCTCAAGGTTACACTTTGAACAATTTAAATAGAGACAGGTAACTTGTAAGTCTAGCCACTTAGGCAGATGGGTGAGTTACACAGCAGAGAAACTTCCAGAATTATTTCTTAAGTATACCAGTGACCTGATACAATAGGTCATTCTTCAACGCTAGGGTCCTGAGGTGAAAGTGCCAGGGGATGAGAAAGACAGGAAACGTAGAAAGAAAAAGAAAAAGCTAATTTGGAGAGGTCTTGCACAAGCTATGTCTTATGCCAAGTAAGGGTCTTAAAAAGAATAGCATCTTGTATACTACATTCAGGAGGGAAATGGGAGACTTCAATGAAGTCAGCAGAAACTATCATACAAAGGGACAAAATCAGGAGGAGGCTAATCAAACAATGATGCACAAGGAGATCACAGGATATCTCAAAAACGTTACTGACTAAGCCCACAGTGGCCTTGGGACTCATAACCACAGCTCCATATGGTGAAAAGAGTTGAGTTCTAAGGATCTGAAGCAACCCATCCAAAAGGCCCTGGCCCCTGACCATTACTAGCTCTTTCAAGCATATTTCTGGTTTTAGAGAACGAGCTCCGTTTTATTATCAATACATCAGGCCCTTAAGGAAAGCTCCCGAGACCTAGCCAGGCTGTTACTTGCTCTCCCAAGAATGTTCCTCCTCCCTGCATGAGGGCCTAAATGAAAGCCTTGTTTGATCAGGTCAGTCCTTAACACAACCATATTTTATTTTTCAAATATTTGTCACCTGGTGTCACATTGCCCATCTCTCAGAACTATTCTTTTCTCCAAGAAGAAAACTGGAACTTTATGACACACCATGCCTTAAGATTGGTTGTGACCCTGTAATGCCTTCTTGAGCAGCTTGTTAGAGGCCTGTTCTTTAATATGGGGAAGGGCCTAGCGGCTGTTTGTCAATTTAGTCTCTTTGTAATGGGTTGGAGCCATTACAAACCTAGTGAACAAATGTATATCATAGCATCCTAATCCTAGTGAACAAATGTATAACATAGCATCCTAATCTCTAACAGTCCCAGTTAACATACTACTTATCTTTGAGGTGTTCTAGACATAGCTTTCACTCAACTAAATTGTACTTTGTGAGCTTTATTATCTCTTAAGCATTGGTAAATCCTTTCTATCACCAGTTCTACTTTTCTATATCAAGCTTAGTAGTGAAGTGCTACCCAACACATGAGATGCTTTTTACAACCTCCACGAAATTAATTATCAATGCATTTTACACATAAAGGTTAAATGCAAAGTGCTGAACATCTAGAAGATACTGGAGAAACTAGGCCCCTCTGAGTTTGGCAACCTGCCTCCCATGGATGCATCAAAAGCATATTGAAGTTGATTGCTAAAATGTTTCTACACACGGTTCCCTGTTCCCAAAGCTCTGCACAAATGCAGCCCATACAGCAGTTATCTAGAAGCCTGCCCTTGGGTACAGGGAGTTGTAAAGACCACATGGGAACTCTCAGGATAGGGAATCTGGCTGCAGCTTCCTACCTAGATCTGGGAAGGACCCACCACACTGGCTCCCACACCTCACTATCTGCTCCTCATCATATGGGGACAGCAGCTCCTCACTCACCATGTCCTGATTTCCCAAGCTCTCTGCTCAGCTCCCTGCAGCAGTAATTGCACATAAAATCACTGGTGCCAGCTCTTCTTCAAAGCCGCGCCTGAAGCCTGGCATCCGGAAGAGCCCTGCACTACTTCTGATTGGCAGGCTGCCTGGAGGGCCTGATTGGCTAGTGAGGCCTGAGTGACAAGAGCACCTCCCATAGGATTACACTGTGCTTAAAGACACAGCACAATGATTTCTGACTCAGTCTTCCACCCCCAGACAAAGACCTTTTCTAGATCAGCAGATTTGCATTTCAATAGCACTTGCCCCAAGCTCCAATATCACACCCTGCTATCTTCCTGCACTCCATAGGCACTTCTTCTTCACCCTGGACACAATGTGGCTAGCTAGCTTGTACAGATCACTATTCTACATGTGGTGGAGTGATTCCCTATCACACAGGTGGAAGGGTGCCCAGAATATTAACAATTAAAGAGATATTTAAGTACACAAAAGGAGATATTTGTTCTGTGGCTTCACACTGAGGTCAGATAAAATGAAGGTACTTTTTACTTGGTTGTCACAGGGACTTCAGACAACCAGCAAAGAAAAGCAGGAATTAGATCACAAACAAGATAATCGGTCTTTCTCCCATCAGAAAGATGGACAATAGCTTGCTGCAGGGCGCAGGAATATATCATAAGAACTCAGTTGGTTATGGCAAAGTCACTACCTGGAGGAATCAGGGAATTCCTCCAGAGGAAGCCAAATCCCAAGGAGTTTTTTGGTGTTACTTGGCTTGTTATATATCAGCTGTCTTCCGTTATAAAAATCATGTGTGCTTTCATAGTTTTCCCAATTGATTTTCCCCTATGAAGGGCTAACAATGTGGACTGATCACTCTCTAGACATACACATTCCAGGCATTTGGAGAACAGCCTCAGGAAAGGCTTCCTCTGGAATCAGATATCTCCCCTAGCCACTTTCAAGGACTAAAGGAGACACCACCCAGGTGGTCGCCCAATTTCCGAGGATTAACAGTGATAATAACCCACAGGCAAGTCTCCTGACTTAAGGTAAATTCCACAAGGAGACACCACCCAGGGGGGCGCCCAACTTCCTAGGACTAACAGTGATAGCAGCCCACAGGCAAGTCTCCTGATTTAAGGTAAATTCCACAAAGAGGCACGCCTAGGTGAGGTGGACATTAAGTAAATAGCTTCACACAATTTAGCTTGGACCCTCCCTTTATATACCGGGACTTCCAGGGCACAGGGGAGAAGAGAAAAGAGAATGGAAGAACTAGATGGGTAAGAACTTGAGAGGAACAAACTGAGATGGGGAAGAACTAGATTGAAGGGCTAAAAGAGAGGACTAGAGGAACAAGATGGAAGATGAGGAAGAACCAGATGGGGAAGAACAAGATGAGGAAGAGCCAGATGAGAGAGAAGTAGATGGGAGAGGAGCTGATAGGGGAAAGAACTAGAAAGAAATAGACAAGCAAGAAAAGAGCTAGACATGAGAGCAGAATAGAAGCTGTGTAGAGAGAGAACTATCACAGAATAATAAAGTGTATGAACTAAGGAGTTTCATGTACATAGATTCATTTCCTTCATCAAAGATTAATTATCAGCTGGTTGTAGATTCTTCCTGGACCCTGGGAGGGGACTATCTAGGGGCTGGATCCCCATAGTCCCCGATAATAGCTCAATTGCTTTAGGAGTTTTATTCCTGAAATTCAGAGCAAACTCTTCGCAAATGAATAATAATAAAGTGTAGTCTTCATGGAAAGTTGAATACATAGAGCATAATGGAGCAAGGAAGAATATTTTTATGAGCACTATTGTTAGCCAGCACATCCTCCTCTGTAGGAAGGTGAAAAAAAAACTGTATTAGTCAAGGTTATCTACATGACCAGGACTGGTAGAATGAATCTCTATATGTGTGTAAAAAGTGGATTTATTAGAATGTTTCACAAACTGTGGTCCAGGTAGTCCAACAATAGCTGCCTACCAATGGAATTGAAGAGTCTTGTAGTTGTTCAATCCATAAGGCTAGATATCTCAGCTGGTCTTCAGTATACACCACAATTCTAAGGATGTTGGCTCTAATGCTGGTAAGGTGTAGCGAGCACATACCCCAGTTATGGGGGAGGAATAATCACTCTTGATTCAGACTTGGTATAACACTCATTTATTCACACAGTAAGATTACAAACAATATTCATCCTGTCTTCCAAATGGAAGCAGGAGTACCTCTCCGGGTATACAGGTCCGGACTCGCCACGTCTGTTCCTCTGGATCTTGGGTCAGCCTTCCTCAGGTCAGCCACGTCTGCACTGGGGACAGGATCTCACGTCTCTGGCAGAGGAGAGTCGTCTCGCGCGAGGGCTTGACGAGCTCTGTTGGTCGGGTCTGAGGCTTCATCTTTTATATTCTTTCCTGGCTAGGTTTCTAGTCTTATCCCTACTTCCACACATAGCTTATAGCTTATCACTACTCCATTTGTGGTTTACTTACATCATTCTATTGCTTATCATTCCTGACCAGGATTGTTCACCCTAGGCCTTACATGTGTTCCTTACATTCCATCCCCTGATGCCTGAAATGTCTTCAACATAAAAGGCATCACATGAGGTCGCAGCCTGGAGATTTACAATATGTTATCCTAATTTGTTAATCCTAGCATTCTTATCCTTCTCATTCTGGGTGGTTTATTTTTATGTTTTTTCTCTATATATGCATTATATAACTTCAACCAAGTGCTATAAGCTGCAAATTCTTTTAACACATCTATAACAAAATCTCTACACAATATTCTAGTACATATGCTTTGTAAATACATTGGTTCTCCTGTTTCCCACTGTGGGTCATTCAGGAAATCTTTATCAATGCTTATTATTGCTTCATCAGGATTATGTTTTAGCCATGTTCTATATGTTTCATATATTCTGTGATTACCGCGGCCCACATATGCTGCAGCTAAAGCTGCGCTTATATGTAGGGCTGCATCCATGTTATTTCTGTGTATTTTGTACATTCCATTCACTTTATATACACTAGATTGTATGGTTCCATAATATCTCATGTATCCATCTCCAATTAATCTCATATCATGTATACCTCCTTCTATTGTCAAGTGGAACGTTAAGTGCATCAAGAGCATTGGGAGGTTGTCTACCTCACCTGGTTCTGATAGGTAGAACATTGCATATTTATGGGTGCAGTATTTGCATCCCTGTATCGTTCCTGCCATAGATAATATACCTATTCTATAGAAAATATCAGACAATGGTTCCATATATTTTTGGTATGTGGTATATAGTAAATTACTCATTCCATTTTTATTAAGTAAATCGAAGCGTCTGCCTGACGGATTCCAAAGTGGGTTTCCTGTTACTTGATTCCTGTAAGACATCTTAAGCATGGAGTTATTATCAAGCATTTGATTTTTTTAGACAAACATAAAGCAATACTTATCCCTAAAATTACTAAAAACCAAAAGGTTGCTAACTTTATCCAGTGCCACCATGTGTAAATTGGTGTACATATTAGATCTAATCTGACTAGTCTGCCTAAATAATCCCAAAAGCTGCATTTCTGCATCTGTTTTGCCCAGTCTTTATGTATGTATGTATTTGTTCTTAACAGATTCACTAGATTGTGCGTTTGTGCTTGTGATGTATGTATGGCTGCATCTTGTTCTTTAATTTTGTTATGTATGGATTCCAGTTGTTTCTGATTGAAATCTGCAATGTGCTGTAACTCCATTGCTTGTTTTACAAATGTTTGGTGATGTTCTAATTCTGTTGGGTCATTAAATAAGTGTGAGCCATCAAAATAATGTTTTTCTTCTAGTGTTAATGTGGTCACTCTTTGTTTGGTTATGTTTTTACCATCATAATTAGTGAAATTCATTTGTAGGATGCTACAGTTGTGTACCATATAGCATCCTGATTCTGTAATATTGAATGTTGTGATATCATCATTCATTGTGGTTTCATTAAGATTTATGCAGCTAACTAAAGTAGGTAAATATTTAGCACATATCAAGAAAGTGTAATCTCCCGTATCTTCTAGTGACTGTGTGATAGTAGTTACTGCCAATTGACTAGTTTCAAGTGTGCTTTCTGGTAAATGTGGATAAACATATGTATTTGCTCCTAATGATATGGAGTCTTCTAATGGTATGTACACTGGTGTGTCATTCATATTGGTCCATAAGTAATGGTCTATGGGTACTAAGTATTGGTGGTTCCATTCTGATACTCCTGTTCTTTCAGTATATAGCTGTGGTATCGCCTTGGAATGATATGCTGAAAATGAATTTTGTAAGAAGATCTGTACTAAATGTATATTGCATAATCCATCTGTGCATGAGCTTTCATATTCAGGGTTTAGTATACTTTGATATTCTCTTGTTCTTCTCCCTAACCCTGTGCTAAATAAACTATTTAATTCATTATTCATATTACTGACTTGAGTTCGATACATTTGACACATCATCATGTTATGGTTAGTATTAATAAGTTTTGCTTGATAGGAGAATTGTTCCTTATAAAGGTCTTGTGACATTTTTATCTCGCCTTACATAGTTTGTATTAGTGTATGCATGCCATCTATAGAATTTGATATAGCTGCTAAAGCTTCTGCTGTTTTCTTATTTACTTCTTGTATGTGGTATGTTTCTGCCTTTATTGGTTCTATCATTGCTGCTGATACTCCTCCACCCATTATTCCACCTAAAATTGCTCCTGCCATAAAGGCTGCTACTGCCATTGCTTGTAGTGGTTTTCTTCCTACTCTTGTTGGTGATGAGTAGTCTAAATCAAATCTAAAATTCACATCACTACAATATTCTATAGGTGGTTTCAGTGCTGTCAAATCTATTGTAATTTCAATTTTTCTAATCCTAGGGTATAAAACTAATTTAGCTGGACTTTTTAGGTCTGGTATAATAGCTGGTGCCTTGACTACTGTTGGGGTTCCTTCTGGTGGTATTAGGTATCCTTTTGGAAAATGAGCTGTATATAATCCAATATTTTCTTTATTTGGTCTGGTCATATTTCCTCTAAATATAATTAATGGTGTGTTGGAATGTTCGCTGAGAAAATCCTTATTTCTTGATATCGGGAGATAATATATTTTATCCCAATATTGTGTATGTGATTTCATTGATCCTCTAGGTTTGTGTGCTACCCATTCAGCCTTATTCCATTCTTTATATTGTGGATTTGGCATTAACATGTAGAAATAATATGGGAGATTATGGTGCTGTAATTCAATTACTCTATCCATTTCATAATCCAAAGTTTGCCAAAAACTCCCTGATCTAGTTATCCCATTTTTATAATGTACCATTAGGTCATCTGGATCCATAACCTTATTGATTCTCATAGCCTTTGTCATTTGTACATATGGTGGGATATATTCTACCTCCCTTATACCTGTGAAATTGTATGCCTTTTGTTCAATTGCCCTATTAAATATGAAAATATTTTTTGCTGCTACTTCATCTGTAGTAACATTGGCACTGACTTCCCAGGGTATGGGCATGTCCAGTAAGTCTTTAGATTCGTGAAACCAGCAAATTGATATCTTACTGCCACCTAGCATGTTATGTATTTTATGTTTTGGTTCATGTATCATGCCTATGGTTAATATTGGTGTGCTGTCAAATTTTACTAGTGACATATGTTTGTTTATTATGGTAATTTTACCATATATATTCAAATTTATTATTGTGGTTGCTTTATTTGTGGTACAGTTAGTCCGTACCGCTGTATTATTTGTTTCGGTAAAGCATGATAATTTGTTTCTCAAGCTTGTGGTACCTTGTGTTAGTGATTTTGCTAAGGTTAGATTAAAAAATCCCAAATTACTTGCTTGCGTAAAATATGTTGGATATGACTGTTGGTCGTCATTAAATCTCATTATTGCCTGGACCTGTTTAGTAGCTGTTATATTTGCAGTACTGTCCACAAAAATTCCTAGCCATGGTATTTTCTGGCCTATTATATCTGTGATTGCTATTAAATCTTGTACTGACCTTGATGTTCTTCCAGTAAATAAAGGTCCTACATGTAGGTCCACTATAGTCTTTGTATTGTTGTTTTGTCTAATGTTTGTATTTGCTTCGGACATATTTATACATGCATATGCAAAAGAGTGTTTTTCCCTGTGTAATGTGGAATTTACTGTAAGTATGCAAATGTGTGTTATGGTGTCTGTGTTGCAATCATATTTAGGTTTCATTGTGTGTCTCATTGAAGCCCAAGGTTGTTGTATAATATCTGTAAGTATGATTGGGAATCTCCAATGTTCTACTCCTAATTGCAATATTTTTGTCCAGTCATCCCATTTCCATTCCTTTCCTTTTACTGATGGGTTATCTGTGCTATATAATACAGAGAAGTTACCATAGAATGGTAAATTGGGATAGTCTGCTACGCATAACCAGTTAGTATTATTTTGTCCTGGTACATCTAGCTTATGTTTTTGAATGTATCTCCATAAGTTATTGGGACATCTATTTCCCCAGGGTTTGGGTAATGGTATTATTCCAGATACTACTGGCCATGGTTTTACCATTTCACCATCATTGCATACTGTCCAATTCATAGGGTTGCATGGGTTTATAGGTGTTGTAGTTACTTTAGGTGTTGTACTAGCAGGGTAATCACCATCATAATAGTCATCATTGTAATTATACACTTGTTCTTCCCACCTTTCTGATGTCTTATTATACAGCATACCTATCTCCTCCATTTGTTGTGCTATTACTGGTGCGAAATATTGTCTCACAAAGGAGCTATTCATGCCTAGTTCGCAGTCAAATTCTGGTTCTGTCTCTATTCCCATTGTATTGGTCCTATAGTGTGAGTTTACCCTTAATGTGTTTGTTCTGATATGTGAATTCTTTGTCCAATACATGTTGTATATGGCTGCGTGATTGGTAATGTTGGTCCATAATTCATTGTAATGGCATTTTAACGGGTTCTGCTCATGTATGTTGGTGTTAACATCATCCCCTGATTCTAACATATATTCTTTGTTTGGATGGTATATGCTAAGTGCCATTCTATATTGATCGCAACCCTTATACCAGGCATATGTTAAACATGCTGCATATTTTTGCCAAAAACTGTGTGTTTTTCCTATGTAATGTGTAAATCTTCTCTCTGCTGACCAATATAGCGGTAATTTGCCTTCTAGATCATAAATTGTTGGTGTAGCAACGGTATTCTGTTTCCTAGTGCCCACTTGTATAACATGTGGTGTGGTGGTGGGTCTGTTTGTTGTGGGTGTACTGTCCAATAGGGCTGGCATTGGTATGCTGTTATTGCCATCACATCTGCTAACCTGAGACAGAAAAATGAGCACACAAAGGCTCCAATAGCATATAGCTTGCTTGCCTTCAATGTGCACATCACCTTTGCTATTCTTTTTTTTTTTTTTTTTTTTTTTTTTTTTTTTTTTTTTTTTTGGTTTTTCGAGACAGGGTTTCTCTGTGTAGCTTTGCGCCTGTCCTGGAACTCACTTGGTAGCCCAGGCTGGCCTCGAACTCACAGAGATCCGCCTGGCTCTGCCTCCCGAGTGCTGGGATTAAAGGCGTGCGCCACCACCGCCCGGCTCACCTTTGCTATTCTTATTGCCTCCTGTGCAGATAGTGTATCCAGCATACCGTGAAGTTGGCTGTTCTGGATGCTGCAGAAGCGTATCCAGGATTGGTATTGTTGACTATGTTGTATGAGTAGCTTCTTTGGTAAATGATGTTACAGAAGGGAAAAACAAATTCTAAGATTGGCAGTACTATGTATACTGCAATAGCTATTAGCCAAATCGTCAGGAGGGTTGCCCTTATGAATATCACCTCCCTGACACACATTTATGCTATATCCTCCAGCCTGACTAATTTCAAGTCCTTTTTACCTTGAGTTATCCACACGTTGTTTCCTGTTCCTGGTGCTATTATTTCTGCTGGGGATAATTTGTTATTCTTCCGGTTCCTGTAAAGGCAATTAGGATTCCTTATTACTTCTCTATCTATAACTGTAGGATAATCTATTGTGTGTTGTTTTTGTATAGCTTCTTCTATTGGTGACTTCCTATTTATTCTGGGTCTGGTATTCAATTCATAAGTTGCTATTTTTATTGCTAATGACAGTGGTATTCCCTTATGCATCTCTAGCTGTTTTTTAATCATTCCGTTCCATCTTTCTATTGCTCCAGCTGCTGTCGGTGTATAGGCTCTATGGAAGTCCCATTGAATGTTTAAGTTTCTAGCCATTCTTTGTGTTTTGGCTCCTGTGAAATGAGTTCCTTGGTCTGATTGTATTATATCAGGTATTCCATATGCTGCACACCATCCCCAGACTGTAAGTATTGTTGTGTTTTGGTCTGGGTGTGTGCTTTCTCGGGCCATCCCGAGACCTGTCGTTATGTCTACTAGGGTGCAGCAATATTTTCCCTTGAAGCTGTTTAACGGTCCTATGAAGTCTATTTGTAGGATTCTATTAAAATCCATTCGGTGTCCTATTATCCCTTGGTAATTGTGTGTTAATCTTGTAATAGCCTTTGGGCAATTGTTGCAACTATTGATTGCTTTCCTTATTGTCTGCCATGTTATCTTAAGATTTCTTTTATCGAACCAACTTTTTAGTACATGTGTACCTATATGTCCTAACCGCTCATGGATTTTCAGTATCTCTTCTGTACTTATAGGTATGTCCTTAGTTGATGGTCTTACCTGTATCCATTCTCTCTGTATTTTACCTTTTCCTGTTTCTGGATTAATGTTTGCCTTCCATGTACCTTTTAACTTTATACTTAACGCTGAAGCTAGTTTGTCTACTACTTCATTGTTTTTACTTGTCTCATCCTGTTTCTTGGTATGTGCATCTACATGGTATACTATGATTTTGATTAGTCTACTTGCTGCATCCAATTCCTGCCATGCTGCCTTTGACCATATGTCTTTACCATTAATTTTCCATCCATTATTTCTCCATTTACCTGACCATACTGCTATGCCATTTGCCACACACCATGAATCGGTGTATAAATAAATTTGTTTATAATTGTCCTTTATAGTTTGTCTTATCGCCAATAGTGCGGCTATAACTTCTGCATGTTGGGCTGATTTATCAGTGCCCTGGTCTGTAATGACCATTCCATCCCCAGGTCTATAAGCGGCTGCTCTCCATCTCACTTTGTTGTTCACCGTGGTTGCTGATCCATCGGTGAACCAGGCATTAACCAGAGAGGGATCGTACTCTCTAGTCCCCCAATGGCCCATTGGTACCTGTTTCTGGGGAGGGGTTGAGGTTGGGAAAATGTATCCCTCTGGAGTCATGGGCCTGTCGGACTGAAGTATCGACTCCGATACTGCTGGTACCGACCCCTTTGCTGACAGAGGTGTTGATCGAAGGAACTCCTGAAGGTACCATTTCCATTGAAGTACCTTTCCTTCCATGGGTAGTCCAGCCCATGCCTCTCCTGGTGCCTTTACCCAGTCCAAAATGGGTATATGTGATCGGAGAGTCACATGGTTCTCTTTGAGCAGTGAGTGGATTGTCCTGAATGCCTCATAGGCTGTCCATATGGTTCTTTCGAACAGCGAATATTTGTTCTCTGACCATGGGAATTTCTTGCAGTAGAAGCCTATTGGCGTTTCCCTGTCTTTATTTTTTGAAAATATATTCCAATTACCATAACCCTGCATATACAAGATGTCCACAAATACGTGGTCACCGGGCTGTATATAATATAGGTGGCTATACTGGTTTATATATTCCAGTACCAATTTAACGGCATTTTCGCAGTTTTGGTCCCATTCAAAATCCTGTGCTTTCTTTGTTATTTTATATAAAGGCTGTAATATGATCTGTAAGTATGGAATATGTTGCCTCCAATATGCAAATAGGCCAATTAGATGTTGTACCTCAGTTTTATTCTGGGGTCGCTTAATTTGTTTTAATTTATCTATTATTGTTTCGGGTATTGTTGGTCCTTCTGTAGTCCAATGTACCCCTAAGAATTTTACTTCTGTTCCTGCTTTATTTACTTTTTCTAGGTTTATAGTCCATCCTTCATTTCTTAAATGTTGAATTAGTTTCTCTAATGTACTTTGTACTTTGTCAATGGCTTGTCCTACTATCATTATATCATCTACATAGGTATATATGTTACAGTCTGATTCTGGCTCGAAGCTCTTTAATGTAGTTGTTAAGGTGTTGTGTGCAATAATAGGACTGTTCAAATACCCTTGAGGGAGTCTCAAGAATTGATATTGCTGTCCTTGCCATGTAAATGTAGTAAGTTCCCTAGATGTTGGGTGTAATGGGATTCCAAAGAACATATCACTTAAGTCTATAGTTGCCATTGCCTTTGGAGCTGAATTTTTAATTCTAAGAAAGATGTCTTCCACATCAGGAAGTTGTCCTGGAAGTTTAGGTGTTTTTTCATTTATTCTCCTGAAGTCAACTGTAAATCTCCATTTGCCATTAGGTTTCAGCACCGGCCATACTGGGCTGTTATAATTGAATGATTGAGATTTCTCTATAATGCCTTCTTTTAGCAAAGTTTGTATAGTCTCTGTTATTTCCTTAATACCTCCTTTGATAGGGTATTGTGCCGTGAAGGTCGGGGGTGTGTGTGGTAATTTAATAGGTTGTATTTTTACTTCTGCTAGATTACATCTGACCTTAGCTATTCTCTTATTATTTAGAAAGTCTGGGAATAATTTTCTTATTTCTTTAATGCCTAGGATATTACAGGGTGCATTGAAGCTAGCTGCTTCAATCTCATATTCCTTATTATATAATTTGAGTCTTAATTTTATTACTGGTACTTCTGTTTCTGCTGCTACTCCCTGTATTATAATCCTTTTATCAGTTTTAAAATGTTCTGTAAATTCCGTTATTATACTAATTTCAGAACCTGTATCTATTAGCCATTTTACTATTCTCGGCCCTTTGTTAGTTATTATAGGTATAGCTACGAATGGTCTACCAGCCGGGTTGATCAAGTCCGTCTTGGTATGTAGCGTCTGGGGGGTCCTGCTCTTGGGGGCCTGTGATTGTTCTGATTGAAAAATTTTGGTCTGAAATTTGGTTTGAAATTTCGATTGCCTAAAAAAGGTTTTGGTTGGCATGTCTGTCTCCATGGGTTGCTCTGTGTCTCTCTCCATGGGATATTTTTCCTTCCTGTCAACCTTCTAATTGGGTTCCATGGTTTATTTGCATTCTGTCTTATGGGCATTTGATTAGCTTTCCCAAATGGTCTTATGTTCGAAAACCGCGGTGTAAATTTCTTCTTGTCCTGTTTCTTATTAACATTGAATGATACTACCTTGTCTATGTCCATTTCCCTGTAAGATTTAAAGAATTCCATGGCATCTGAGATGGTTTGACATGCCTGCAGGGGTCCAGCTAGGCTCATTTTAAGGTGTGCTGGAGCTCCTTTAATAATGATCTTTTTAAATTGTGGTGTAAAAGGTGCGGCTTGAGGTGTGGGTACCTGGTTGTATATGAAATACAATATGCCTAATTTTCTACATTGTTTTATGGCTTGTGCATATGTTGTCCACTGTGCTGCTGATTCAAATTGAGTGAGGTCTAATGTTGGAAATGCAAATCTCCAAGCTGCAGTAATCCAATCTAATAGTGGATGTGTATCGCCTTTTGATGTCTCAATTACATGCTCTAGAGCTTCTGATACTGAGGGGTTCTCTACTATGTTTCTGATCTTTCTCATTTCTAGATCAGTTAACATGACTGTGTCAGCTCCCTTTTCCCACAGTCGGCACATATATTCTGCGTCTTTCTGTCCATTTTGGGCATAATCTTTCCGTAATTCTGAGATCTCCTGAGGAGTATATGGCCTGATTTCCTCAAACTTCGTTCCCATTTCAAATTTGGGACGATTACTACCTCCTCCAGTGCTGAAGGGGTTCAGAGCTGATATAGTACTTCTAATAGGAGTTCTCTTACTTTGGGTAGAGACAGGAAATGATGGTACGGTGTTACATCCATTCCATCCAGGAGTAGCGCTACGCTCCTGTTCCTTCCTCACTATGTTTAAGGCTAGCCTTTTGCCCATTAATCTGTCCTTATCAATATCCTGCACCGTTTTCATAAGCAGTGCGGTAGTTTGTGCCTTGCTACATCCCTCTAATTCTTGTTCTACCACATCCGGATTTGTTAATGTGTTAGTTACATTTACTGATTTCATGCCGGCCTTATTTTTAACCTTGGAGGCTACTTTTCCCCACTGTTCTTCAACCTCATCTTGGTATTCTCTACCTGTCACTGGGGAGATGTTAGTCTTCTTAAATTTCTTAATTAATCTATTCATTGTAAGTGGTATACCAAGCCGTACAAAAATTTAATTAATTTTTTCCTACGGTACCACTCCCAGTCACTAATTCGTTTAGACTGATTCAAAGAATCAGTTATCAATTTTTCAAATTTCAAATCCGCAATCCTTTCTATCCTTTTGGCCAGCCAGCGCCTCATTTAGCTCTTTCCCAGCACCTTCCGCTCTTCCCCAGGGGTCTGGGTTGGCATCAAGGTGTCCGGTATTCTTTCGGTACTCCGCACCCTTAGGGAGGGTGGTGTTTCCCGTCTGCTTCTGATACTCTCTCTCCTACCAGTTCTTCCTCCTTGGACCTTCAGATTTTCTTTAGGTCCTCAGAGTTGACTTCGAGGAGTTGATTTCTCAGAGCGGCTTTGAGGTCACTTGCTAGTTTATTTGGTTTCCTGTAATTTGTTACTCCACCAGAGTAATAGCCAATTCTTTTGTATTACTTATTTTACATTCCTCAGTGCTCAGTGGTCAAGGAGGCTTTAAGCCCAAAATCCTGCCGACTACGCCAACTGTAGCGAGCACATACCCCAGTTACGGGGGAGGAATAATCACTCTTGATTCAGACTTGGTATAACACTCATTTATTCACACAGTAAGATTACAAACAATATTCATCCTGTCTTCCAAATGGAAGCAGGAGTACCTCTCCGGGTATACAGGTCCGGACTCGCCACGTCTGTTCCTCTGGATCTTGGGTCAGCCTTCCTCAGGTCAGCCACGTCTGCACTGGGGACAGGATCTCACGTCTCTGGCAGAGGAGAGTCGTCTCGCGCGAGGGCTTGACGAGCTCTGTTGGTCGGGTCTGAGGCTTCATCTTTTATATTCTTTCCTGGCTAGGTTTCTAGTCTTATCCCTACTTCCACACATAGCTTATAGCTTATCACTACTCCATTTGTGGTTTACTTACATCATTCTATTGCTTATCATTCCTGACCAGGGTTGTTCACCCTAGGCCTTACATGTGTTCCTTACATAAGGGAATGAATTTGATAGCCAAAGCTAGGGCAAGCAGGCAAAGAGAGAGCTTTCTCCTTCAATATCCTTTATATATGTAGGCTGCCACCAAGAGTTGCTATCCAGATTAAAGGTGGATCTTATTCTTTGTTTGATTGGTTTTTTGGTGTTTTTAAGACAAGGTTTTTCTGTGTAGCCCTGGAACTCATTCTGTGGACCAGGCTTGCCTCAAACTCAGAAAATCCAACTGATTCTGCCTCCTGAGTACTGGGGTTAAAGATGTGCACTCCCACCAAGCAGCTAAAGATGGATCTAATTACCTCAAATGATCCAGATTAAAGGTGGGTCTTTAACTTCAAAACCTTTAAGTAAAATCCCTCACAGTTCTACCCCACCCTTGGGGTTTTAGTTAATTCCAGTGTGAGACAAAAATGAGCCATCTTAGAAATAAGACCAAAATGCTTTCACCCTAAAATTAAGGCCTGAGATATCTCCTTTTAGGTACAGGCCATGAGTTACTAAAACCAGTCAGTTCAGATTCCAGAAACCAGGAAGTGTAAAAGTACAGAGTCACAAGGTAGTCACGAGGTAATGCCTGCCGGACTATGGAATGACCTCTCCCTGGTTTCCAGGGTAACTGACCACAGAAATGCCCCCACCTGAGGACAGACAATGAGAAATGGTGGCGGGCAACCACTCCCTTAGAAGTAATTTCTAGAAGTCCCTAGAAGCGAGCCAATCAGAATTGTACCGGTACTAGCACCCCTAAATGATGTAACCTTGTGATTTTTCCCTTTAAAACTGAGTTTGTAGATAGGTGGGCACTTCCTCCAGCCTCCACTGCGTTGGATGCATTGGACAAAGTCCCTGCCTAGGCTTGTATTGCTTTTGGATATCCAGAATTAAACCTTGCTTTTGCATTCTGGCATGCTCGTCTTTGATGGTTTCTCTGGGGGTCACGATCTGGGCACAACACCAGGGGTAGTCAGTTTGACTACCAAGAATAGCCATCACAACAGACAAGACAGGAGAAAGGAGAAAAATTCCTTACCTGCTGGAGGCAAGGAGAGCATGGGAGTTATTTCTAAAACAATGCTTTTCCTAAACAAAGGAAGCATGGGGATTTTACTTAGGGACTCTGGACATGTTCATGTAGAGTTCTCCCTATTCCTAAGCAGGCTCAATTAACAAATCCACTTCTAAAAATAATCACAATGTAAAAGCAGAGACATTTAGGGACATTCTCACCTTAAAGTCATGCAGGAATGTCTATAAATTATAAAAATGATGAAAGAAATGCCTCTGACATGTTCATCTTGCACCACAACGTTTTAGCTAAAAATCAAGGAAATGGCACTATGAAAGTAGATTTGCTTTGGAGCATTTATGAGCTGTCAATCTTGATGTCTGATCTAAAAGATAACTGTAACAACGCCACAAATCTCACAGATAAAAAAGATGGAGAACACAAATACAGAAAACATCAAGGAAAATCACCTAACAACACTGTATACTCTGCTTATAGATAAATGGTTATAATGAGCTCTATTAACCTCAGAATAAAGCTGCACTTGCCTTTGAGCAGGCCAGCTCAGTGGAAAGCCACAGCTGCTTCCACACAAGAGCAGAAGGAGTTCATTTTAATTAGCCCTGGCTTGCTGTCTGTCTCAGGGCTATGACATCATTGTAGAGAATTCCATTCTTTCCTTTTTCTAACTTAAAAAAATTAGTTATATGGTATTTTGCTTGCATGTGTCTGTGCACAGTACCTACAGAGTGCAGAAGAAGGCAGGAGATGCCTGGAACAGGAGTTACAGCAAATGATTAGCTACCATGTGGGTTCTAGGAATAGAACCTGGGTCCTCAATAACAACACACAGTGCTCTTAACTGAGGAGCCATCTATCTGGCCTCTCTTTTTTGTTTAAAATTTATTTCCATAAATTGTTAATTAAAAGTTATTGTGGTGGTATTGTGTTCCCCAAAATATTGTGTACCCTAATAAATTTATCTGGGGTCAGAGAACAGACAACCACTAGATACAAAGGCTAGAAAATGGTGGCACTCACAACTTTAATCCTAGCATTCCAGAGGTAGAAATCCCTCTGGATCTCTGTGAGTTCAAGGCCACATTGGAAACAGCCAGGCATGGTGACTCAAACCTTTAATCCTAGAAAGCGAGCCTTTAATCCCAGGGAGTGGTGGTAGAAGGCAGAAAGGTATATAAGGTGTGAGGACCAGAAACTAGAAGCATTTGGCCTGGTTAAGCATTTGGCTGGTTAAGCATTCAGGCTTTTGAGCAGCAATTCAGCTGAGACCCATTCTGGATGAGGACTCAGAGGCCTCCAGTCTGAGGAGACAAGACCAGTTGAGGATCTGGCGAGGTGAGGTAGCTGTGGCTTGTTCTGGTTCTCTGATCTTCCAGTTCACCCCAATACCTGGCTCAGGTTTGATTTTATTAATAAGAACTCTTTAAGATTCCTGCTACAAGATATTACATCACATTCATCTTTATCTCTTCATTCCCTCCCTTCCCAAATCCCTTCCAACTTCTTTCTTGTTAAGTGTGGGTGAATACAAATGCTGAAATACATGAATACAACCTCCTGTGTCCATTTTTGTTGGTTGTACATACATGGAAAATTGGCTGACTGTGTTGTATTGGATAAACAATTAAGGAGCTCATCCCTGCCTGAAGCTAATTCTCTCAACTGGAGGAGAATTCCACTTTTTAATCAGCATCAGGTGTCTGACCCTGACTAAGCTGCCTTGGACAGGAAATATAATCAAGAATAGAGAATTTAGGTTGAAAAATACCTTAGCAGTTAAGAGCACTGAAGATTCGTTCAAAGATTCTGGCTTCCATTCCCAGTGCATATAGAAGCTCACTACTATCTGTAACTCTAGTATCAGAAATTCTGACACCATCTCCTGGCCTAACTGGCCACCACAGGAAGAGGAGACTTACACCATAAAAATTATTTTTCAAGATGTGTGTGGTAGGGCATTCTTTTAGTACCAGCACTCCAGACGCAAAAGCAGGAGGATCAATGTGAATTTTAAACCCTCTGCTACATAGTACACACACACACACACACACACACACACACACACACACAGAGTAAAAGAAGAAAACTGAATAACACACAAGAAAAAGGAGCATTGGAGAATTGGGAAGATACAATACCTCTTAAAGCCATTTCAAGTGTCTGCAACTGGTGTCCATAGAATCATTTCAAAAATAAATATGGTCAAGCATGTGAGCACATGCCATTAATCTCAGCCACTGAGAGAAACTGAGCTTTTGACAATGGGCCACCACCTTACCATGAGACCTGAACTGCCCATCATGAGCTGAGTGTTACCAGACCCACCAAGTCATAAAGACATGCACAGCAGCTATCTATTATCAAATGGAAGTGGTATACAAATGATTGGGTCCAAGCAGGTCCTGAAGGCACAAGCAACCTACATGAAAGTTGCCCAAATGACAATGTTTTCTACTTCTGTTACAATGTCTTCTGCTAACCAGCATGCACCTAGGGTCCCATGGGGTTGTCCCTAAGATTGGTTGACTGAGGAAGAGAAGACTAGGGCAAGATTTACTGACAGTTCAGTACATCATGCAGGTACTACCCAGAAGTGGACAGCTGCAGCATTTCATCCCCATCCTGGGACATGCCTGAAAGATACTGGTAAAGGGAAATCTTCACAGTGAACAGAGGTTCATGCAGTACACATGGTCATACAGTTTGTTTGAAAGGAGAAACAGCCTAATGTTCAACTATTCACTGATTCACGGGGTGTAGTCAATGGATTGACTGGATGGTCAGGGACTTGGAAAGAGCATGATTGGAAAATTGGTGAGAAAGACATCTGGGGAAGAAGTATGTAGATAGATCTCTCCAAATGGGCTAAGGGTGTGAAGATACTTATATCCCACATAAATGCTCACCAAAAGGTGACTTCAGCTAAGGAGGAGTTCAGTAATCAGATAGATAGAATGACTCTTTCTGTGGTCAGTCAGCCTCTTTTCCCAGCCATTCATGCCATTGCTCAATGAGCCCATGAACAAAGTGGCCATGGTGGCAGAAATGTGCCCCGCCTGCAGGGCTTCAACGGGTTCTCGACCACCCTAAGGACGGAATGATAGGGACAGGAGATACAAAGAAAATACACCAAGTCTAGATTCTGATCAAGGTGCAACTTTATTTTTCTCCAAGAGGGTTTATATAGTTCCTGCAGGGTGGGGGGAGCAAGAAGCTGTCATCTGCATAAGGTGGGGCAAGCTAACAGGATGTTTGTATAGGATGTTTACAGGGTGAAAGGGTCAAGGGCTCTGCCTCAATGTCCTGTTGCTAGGCAACCTGATTGTAAGATGATCTAGTTGCCTGTCCTTAGAGATTCTGTCCTTGTCCCTGACATCTCCCGCTTCTTAGTAATAAATCTAAGGGCCAACATAAACCAGGTTTGAATGGTCTAAAAGGAGGGATCTGAAAGAGGCTTTGCATGGAGGATTACAAAGGCCCTATCCCTCAAAGGTTGTGAAAAAAGGTCTGAGAGGGAATGTCTCTCCCAGACTCAAGCACCACAGGCATAGTGCGGGAATCAATGGACCGTGCAGTTTTTTGAGGGAGCGGAAATGGGTAAGCACAAGGCTGCTACTGCACAACCGCTATGTAACAGGGCATATAATCCAGGCTCTCGGGATTTTGGGGTACCATGGTCCCCAGCCTGTGCAGTCCCAGCTGCACTCCAATCATGCCTTGAGTGAGCCTTTTTCCCACACACAGGTGCAGCCTCCCCCAGTGAAGTGGTCTGTGTGGGACATCTCTTGTCAGGGGAAATTTCAACCCTGGAGTCCTGCATATCAAAGCAATGGTAATGAACCTGGATCTGCCTGGCTGGCAGGTCTGTTATTTGGCTTCGGATGAACCAAGTGAGCCAGGAAAGTGCCCATGGCTCAAAGGCAAGGACCAGGAGCAGGCCTACAACAGGTCCTAGGAGGGAGGAAAGAAGGGTTGTTAGCTAAGGGGAGTTGGAAAACCAATTCTGGAACCACCCAAGTTCTTATTCTCCTTTTCTTTTTCTCTTTTTCTAGTCCTTTTCTAACCTTTACCATACTGTCCCTGACTACCCCGGTGTGGTCTGTAAAGAAGCAACATTCCTCTTGAGCCCAGTACAAAGGCCACCCTGTTGTAGAAAGAGGAGATCCAGGCCTCTCCTGTTCTGTAGAACTAACCTCAGCTAGGGAAGAAAGGGATGACTTGAGGGCAGAAATTCCCTCTTCAAATTGAGCAATATCCTCGTCTATGGACAGTCGAAGCTCAGAGTAATGTTGGTTGGACAGGACCAGAGAGGCAATTCCTGTGCCTGTTCCCAGTGCTCCAAACCCCAGAAGGACTGCTAAGGTGATAGCAGTAACAGGCTCCCATCAAGGCAGTCGTCTCAGCACGGCTTCTCTTCCTAGAGATCTAGGAATTGATCTGAGGAATAATAGGTTAGTCTAGGTGGAAGGGACCTAAGTGCCCTGAGTGGCATCTCTGGTGCTACCCTGTTTGCTGTGCTACCTACCAGCCACAGGCTGTGTCAAGCTGGCCCAACATTGCTATGACCGCCTGTGACACCAAGGCCAGCAGGTCCGACAAGCCTTTTTGACACCTTGGATGAAAATTCAGCACTGCCCTTGGAAACATGACCCCTGCTGTCAGACTGGATTTGTGACAAGCAGTGTCCCTGCTCAGCCCAGAATGTGATTGATTATGGGACTTGTATACTGTGTGAAAGGTCTCAAACACAGTTTGCTGTAAAGTTCCCAATGTCCCTGTTAGTTTTTTGGCTGCGCTGTGTTCTTACCCTGCACGGAAATGTCTCGAAACACGACAGAATCCGCTAATAAGAGTTTTAGTAAAGGTAAAGGGACAGAGAGTGAACAGGCCTGCGGGAAACACATGTGTGGAGAATGTTATGCCCAGATTGGGACCCCAAAGACAAACCACCACAGACCTTAGGTTCAGAATGCAATTAGCATGGTTTATTTCTGTTTACAAGCCGCGGACAAGG